TCTACGCCTATCAGTATGATCGTCCTGCCACCGATCCTGCCTTGGTAAACACATGCAAACCTAGGAGTCCCTCGTGCGTAGTCCGTGCGCCGTCCTGTTCTCCAGGTGCTTTTGGTATTGCCCAGAGGAAAATAAAACCCATTAAGAAAACATTGATGAACTCTGCCCACACCGTTGGCAGGGCTCGTTTCGAATCCTCCGATTCGATTCGATTCGACTCCGATGGATTCCGATTCCGATTTGAGTCGATTTCGGATTCCGATTTGGGCTCCGATTTCTTATTGGACGCATACTAGCCTGCAGATTTCCGCCGATTCGACTTTTCCCGACTCGGCTGCCGATTTTTGCCGATCCGACTTATTTCGATCGCCGATCCGACTTATCGATTCGATTCTGGGCTCCCCTGCCATTGGTTCGCCGCTGTGGGGACTGAGCGGGTCTTGCTTGTGCTTCACGAGCGTACAACGGATGAGCTGTGCATCCCACGCGTGGTGATGTGCGACATGGCGTATAGCACGTGGAATTCCAGCGCGTTCCAGAATGTCTGCGGCTTATCGACGTTATTGGCGATGTTCTCGCTTGCAGGGCGTTCTGTGTCGCACCCATGTTCGAACTGTGGCTGCTGTTGCTGCTGCCTTCCCCTCTTCTCCTCCATTCCCTGCTGCCCTCTTGTCTTGCGCAGGCTAGAGGGCGCACGCTCGCACCCGTCAGCGGCCTGCGGCGGCCCGCGGGAAGGCAAGACAGGATGGCAGGATGGCAAGACAGGACGCCAAGACAACGACGCGGGCAAGTGCAACAGTCAACGCAAATATATGCAAGGGACAAGGAAGATGGACAGGATGATGGACAGACAGAGGTGGCACAGCTCGAGGGGGAGACTGCGGCGTCCTCGCCGGCCACCGGGCGCCTCCAGGGCCAGATGCGATCAGAGGCGGCTCAACCGTAGGATCCTCGTGCCCGAGACCCGCTCGAAAACCAAGGACGACCCCCTCGGCCCGACCCACCTGTCTGGCACTCAACTGGGTCGAGACCTCCGAGAACAGCGCCTAGCAAGGTGAAGAGCTTTGCGCTGGCATTGGTCGCCAGACGACCTGTCCCAAGATGAAGTGCATCTCCTCCAATTCTCTACTCCACCACCGCCACCACCATTATCAATGCACGCTCGGAAGACCAGCCACAGCCGCGAAGCTGCCCTGAGCTAGAGGCGCCCAGCCTTTGCCACAAGCGACGTCTCCTACACTGGCAGAGAGATCGGATGGGGGCGACAATCACTTCCGATATCTCGTTCCTATGGTGCCCCTCAGGGCCAGGTGCGCGGGAGAAAGAGACACCGAGCGTAAAAAAGCGGAGTGCATCGAGAGTTTGAGCTGTCAATGTTGCTGGGCTCCCGACGACGAGCCCCGTCCCAGGCGCCGATGTCGGCCATGAGAGGTTGGCCTCTTCGCCGCATCCTCCACATCAGGCCAGCATCGCGAGAGGCCGCTGGGCCGACGTGGGGGGCCTGCGCGTCCTCTCCTCCGAACGCGCGGCGGCCAAAGAGCAGGCACAAGCAGGCACACACACACACACAGACGCACTTGATCGTCGATTCCCCAGAAAACATGGAGACTAGTGGCATTCGTGTGTATCTATGTGTGTGTCCCTGGGCCCCTTCAAACATCATATCTCCTCAACGCCTCCACCTCCCCCCATGCATCATCTCGTCACCGTACAAAGGCCAGAAGCTTCCCGAGGCGTGGCAGTCGAGAGCGCTCGCCCGCTGCACCAGGCGGCGAGCAGGCCAGGATATCTGGCCGCAGCGCGACGGGAGGCTCGCACGAGCTCGTTGCGAAAGTGTGGCATCAGAGCCATGCAAGCAAGAGCCCAACAGGCGGCACTCGCTTAGTGGGCCCCGGAAACGGCAGGGCCGTTTTTTTCACCGTTTCCGAAAAAGTGTCCCTTGAAAATCGAAACGGCAAAACAACGGCGACCGGAAACGACAACAAACACGGCTCCAGGAGTGGAACCGGAGCGGGAACCCGCAAAAGAACGGCGACGGAACCGGTAAAAAAACGGCGTCGGATTTGGTAAAAGAAAAACGGCAAAACGGAACCGGTAACAAAAACGTCCCTGTCGTTTCCAGGGCCGACTAAGGGCACTCGCACTGCATGAGCCGAGTCGCAGGGTCCTCCATAGCCCCCCAGTGTCCATGTCCTCCTCGAACGCCAGTTCCTCCGCCGAGTCTTGCGGCGGCCTGGCGCGCGGCAGGCCCTGAGCGCGGCGACGATCGGCCGCGGCACTCGATGACCTGGCCAAGAGCGGCAAGCATCTCGCCGAAACGCTTCCTGCACGCTCGGAGGGCCAGCCACGGAGCCTGCGTGCTGCGCTGGGCTGAGAGCGCCGACGTCGAGTGCGAGAGGCTGGCCCACCCTGCAAGCTCCGCCAGGGTCACGGCCTATCACTCTCCAGGACAGTATTTACCCTCCACGTCCTCGGCCACCCCTTCCTGCATCGCCCGGCACTGGCCACCTAGCTGTGGCGCCGGCTGGCCACCGCAGTGCAAGTCAAGTTCCTCCCTTCCTTCTCGTTTTCGTTCTCCTCCTCCTCCTCCTCCTCCTCCTCCTCCTCCTTCTCCTCCTCCTCCTCCTCCTCCTCCTCCTCCTCCTCCTCCTCCTCCTCCTCCTCCCCTTCTCCCTCCTCACCGTGACATCCCGTTGCCGTAACATGGCTAGAAGCTGCAGGAGGCGGGGCAGCCAGGGCGCTTCATTTCACCGGGCGGTGAGGGGGCCAGGATCTGGCCGCAACACGACGAAATGGCTCGCACGAGCATGTCACGAAAGTTGTGATACGGAGACGAACTGTGAGGACCACATAATCACGACATCTGCCACCCTCCTTCGCTGCTCCCGATACCTTAGCCTGCATTGGCGAGGTCGTCGGTTTAGTGCCCACCACCATGGGCCAACACAGGAGCAGCGAGGGCAACCAGCATCGAAGCACACAATCATCGCTCACGCCCCGCGTGCACCACTCATGCCGAGACGGATCAAGTATTGCTCCCCGTCGTGGCGCAGCTCCACCTCTGGCAGCTCCTGCCGCCAGCAACGCAGCGTTGCGCCGCCGCGGGCTATTGTTAAGTCGGGCCTGTCCCTTTACAGGAGTCATATCCAAAAATTCTAAAAAAATAATCTGGGGACGATGCTTGACTGTTTTTTTGAGTATGTTTGGGGTAGTGGTTAGATCTTCCCGGATCCGCCTGTAGGGGGACATGCCCGATCTGAGGCTACCGCCGACAGGTGCCGCCGACGCTGCGGGGGATGTGGTTAGGGAAACAACAAGTGACATAAACATGAAATCTCGGAGGTCCGCGCGGACCTTCGAGTTTTCATGTTTATGCCACTTTTTGTTCCCCCAGTGGTGGGGTTCCCCCCCTCCGCGCGACCCCCATGGCGGCTGCCGCGCTGCCGCCGCCCGCAGAGGGCCAGCCCGGTGCGCGGGCGTCCCACCCCGAGCGGGCAGGCGGCTCTCCTACTCCTCCTCCTCCTCCTCCTCCTCCTCCTCCTCCTCCCCCCTTTCCTCCTCCTCCTCCTCCTCCTTCTTCTCCTCCTCCTCCTCCTCCTCCTCCTCCTCCTCCTCCTCCTCCTCTCCTCCTCCTCCCTCCTCCTCCTCCTCCTCCTCCTCCTCCTCCTCCTCCTCCCCCCCCTTTCCTCCTCCTCCTCCTTCTCTCCTCCTCCTCCTCCTTCTCCTCCTCCTCCTCCCCTCCTCCTCCTCCTCCTCCTCCTCCTCCTCCTCCCCCCTTTCCTCCTCCTCCTCCTTCTTCTCCTCCTCCTCCTCCTTCTCCTCCTCCCTTCTCCTCCCTCCTCCTCCTCCTCCTCCTTCTCCTCCTCCTCCTCCTCCTCCTCCTCCTCCTCCTCCTCCTCCTCCTCCTCCCCCTTTCCTCCTCCTCCTCCTCCTGCTTCTTCTCCTCCTCCTCCTCCTTCTCCTCCCCCTCCTCCTCTGCCACGGGGCGAGCTTTCTCGCGCAGGTGCCCGCCTTTAGGTTATCGGGTTGCACGGCTTGTGAGCGCTCCTGCACAGGAGTTGTTGAGCTTTCAGCGCCACGAGTGGTCCAACCACGGCATGTGCTCCGGCGCAGCCGACGAGGCCGACTATTTCTCGCAGGCGGCCATTTTCCATGCCCTCCGGTTGCGCGCCCGGCCGGAGCCTCTGCGAAGATGCCACGGCTTGAAGCAGACATGCAAGAGCGTTTCTCAATTGATAATGTGTTGTATTATCGTCTTATTTCGCCTCCCTCTCTCTCTCTCTCTCTCGCTTTCTCTGTCGTTATGTTTCTCTTTTCGAGCTTTCTGCACGGGCATGGGTTCATTCCTGGTCTCTTCCACCTGCGCTTCTGCCTTCTACGGTCGGACCGAGGCATAAGATCGAAAATCCCTGAATTCAGGATCCCAGAACACTTGGATCACGATCCAAGTATTTTTCTCACACAGGAACGATTGGATCACGATTTAAGTTTTTTCTAACAAGGAACGCTGGACAGTCTCAGAGGAGAGACTCGGGGAGAAGAGTCTGGGAGGAGAGTCGGGGAAGGGAGTCGGGAAGGAGAGTCGGCGGGAAGGAGAGTCGGGGAGGAGAGTCGGGGAGGAGAGTCGGGGAGGGGAGTCTGGCAGGAGAGTCGGGGCGGAGAGTCGGGGAGGAGAGCCCGGGAGGAGAGCCGGGGAGGAGAGTCAAGGAGGAGAGTCGGGGAGGGCAGATCAGAGATCGCACTCCTCGGCGCCCCTCTCCGCTCCTCCGCGCGCCTCCCGTCGCCCCACCCCACGGCGCTCCTCGCGACGCGAACGCCTCGGCACCGCTCCGCACCCCTCCCTCGGCACTCCGCCTCGGCGCTCCTCCCTCGGCGCTCCTGCCTCGGCACTTGTTCCTTCGGCACCCCTCCTGCGGCACTTCTCGGGCACCCTCTTCTTCGGCACTCCTCCCTCGGCACTCCTCCCTCGGCACTCCTCCTCGGCACTCCTCGGCAGTCCTTGGCATTCCCTGGCGCTCCTCGGCACTCCTTGGCACTCGTCGTCGTCGTCGTCGTCGTCGTCGTCGTCGTCGTCGTCGTCGTCATCATCGTCGCCGCCGTCGGTCGTCGTCCGCCAGTCGTCGTCGCCGCAGTCGCCGCCGGCGTCGTCGTCGTCGTCGGTCGTCGGCCCTCCTCCCCACCCATTCCCAGGCGTCGCCGCAGGGCGTGCCCCTCGCACCCCCCTGCCGAAGTTCACCATTGCACACTCTTGACGTGTCGCGTGCCCCCATCGTGGCCTCCCGTGGCTTCCGCTTGCCGCCCCATCGTGGCCCCCAATCGTGAACCCCGTCGTGGCCACTATCGTATTGCGTACAAGCTGTTTAGGGTGTTCTTCAGAGCGCGAATTACCTACCCCGCTTTCGCTTCCAGGCAAAACCAAGTCACACCACTCGCCTCCTCGTCAAGCGGCCTAACCAGTGCAGGCCGTAGTTTGGCGTCGCTTGGTATTTCTTGGAAGCGAGGGTGCTCAAAAGCGAGGCATGTCTGTTTGCCCCCTAGTTCTGCCGCAAAGGTGCCAGATTCAATCCGCATCTTGGGGGAATCCCGATCGTGTCGAACGGCAGGAGGAAGGCGAAGAGGAGGAGGGAGAAGGCAAGAAAGGAGGAAGGAAGGAACGAACGATGACAAGGAGGATGAGAAGTCGAGCTTTTGCTATCTGTTTGTGTGGACGGTTTTTGTATGCCCGCAATTCTGATATCCGACGGTGTTGTGGACGGTGTTTTTTCAGATTCTGAAGACATCCTCGCAATTCTGGCCTCGGGGATGTCCTGCCCGATGGTGGTCCGGCCACTTTCGCCTGAGACATCCTCGCAACTCTGGGTTCCGATATGCCCTGAGCCCAGGTGGTCAGGCCACTTCCGCCTGAAACATCCTCTCAACTCTGACCTCGGCGATGCCCGGCCCCATGGTGGTCGGGCCACTTTCTCTGAGACGTCCTCGCAACTCTGGGCTTCGAGATGCCCTGAGCTCAGGTGGCCAGGCCACTTTCGCCTGATAAGTCCTCGCAGCTCTGGGTTCCTACATTCCCTGAGCCCATGGTGGTCCGGCCACTTTCGCCTGAAATATCCTCGCAATTCTGACCTCGGAATTGCCCGTGGTCTGGCCACTATCGCCCGAGACATCCTCGCAATTATGGGTTCCGAGATTCCTTGAGCTGAGGTGGTCAGGCCACTTTCCCCCGAGACATCCTCGCACCTTTGACATCGGAGATGCCATGCCCCATGGTGGCCCGCCCACTTTCGCCCGAAACATCCTCGCAAATTTGTGAATCGAGATGTCCTGAGCCACAGGCGCACCGCTGACATCCGAGATGCCCTGAGCCACAGCCATCTGGATATACACGTTGTGCAAGACACATCCACATGAGAAAAACAGCGTGAAAAATACATGGATCCATGCACACATATCTGTGTTCAAAAGGCGCATGTGATTGAATTTGCGATTGCGCGCACGCACGTACAACACACATAGTCGGCGCGGCTCGGGGGGAGACTCCAGGAGGAAGAGTCGGGGAGTCGAGTCGGGGAGGAGAGTCGGGCAGGAGAGTCGGGCAGGGGAGTCGGGGAGGAGACTCGGGGACGAGACTCGGGGGCGAGACTCGGGGAGGAGTAATAGCAATCCAGACATCACCCGCTGGCTGCACTGCCAGCACCGGCCAGGTGTGCGATCTTGCAGCCGCGCCGCTGTCTATCATGGCGGAGGCCTGGGCAGCGGCATATGCTGCTCTGTTATGTGAGTGCGCCTCCTTCGCGTCGAATATTTGTCTAGCCCCTTCGTGTACTCTGCATTTCTCAGTTGCATTCAAAACACAGTGAGCTCGACAGAAGTATGTGTGACCGCCCAGGCAGAATTTTGTGCTCGGCAGCTTGCCCTTGTTCATTGTCCTTCCGGCCGGAAAACGTCTTCGATACCAGCAATCAGTGCATTGAAGAGTTGCTCACATATTTTTCATGAGGGCGCGTTGACGTATCTCAGTCGCTTGCACGGCAGCGTTTTCTGCGGTTTGAAACCCATTGCGGCGCAACTCTCCAGTGTCCCCACGTGTCGCAGGCTGCCTAGGTCATCGCGGCTTTTTCGGAACTGCCAGTCTGTATATCCCCCCCTCCCCTCCCCCCCTGCCCGCGTGCTCTCGTATCCGCCTGCCTAGGCGCGTGGGGCGGGTAGCAACAGAGACGGCATCAATAAGAGAAGCTGTAGATCCATTGACAGGAACAGAAACAGCAGCACGTGCAGCAACAGTAGCAGCAACCATGTGAATACCATACGAAGCAGTAGTAGCAGCATCAGGGTCACGATCATTAGCAACGACATCACAATCATTATGCAGAAGTAAGCAGCAGCCATCAAATGAAACACACATCAGTATTACCAGCAGTGTCAGCAGCAGCTGCAGCTGAAAGGTCAGCAGCATTCCAGTGTGAAGTAGTGCTCCGGTGCAGCGCAATGCAACGCACACCGCAAGACAACGCAAATCATCGAATCGTGCTACAAATCAAAGCAACACGTGGCGATGCCATTCAACGCAATGCACGTCAAAGCAATGCATAGTAAAGTTATGTAGTGATAAGCAACCCATGGGATCTACCTGCAGCCCATGGGCGCCACCCATGGCGCCACAAAATCCGCGTCCCCCGAGGCGCAGCATATGATGATTTACGCCCGCACATCATGGCGCAGCCCGAATGCGCAAACTTTGGCTTGGCCTCAAGCGCCCCACGCCGCAGCCCATGGCGGCAGCCCAAGGCGCAGCCCACGGGAGCAATCTACGGCCTCGACAAGGCAGCGGCACCCATGCCGGATCATGGACGCAACCTTTGGCCACGAAAATTCGCCAGCACCCGAAATAGCAGCCCATGACGCAACCCATGTGCAATATCTAATGGCCATGGGTTATCGCAGACCACGCTTGCCTAGTTGTTCAAAGCATCCAGCTGTTTGCGGCGGACCCCTCCACCGTGCCAGCGCTGCAGCGCGGCGTGGAGAAGGTTGTGCTAAAGACGCACAGCGCGGGCCGCCGGACTAGTTAGGCGCAAGTCCCCCTCCCCCTCCGTTCCCCCCCCCCTCTCTCCCTCCTCAGCCAAGTGGCGCCATGTTCGCATGAAAAAAAACGTGTTCACGATCCACGGAAGTTCAGCGCGCAGTTTGCGCTCGAGTGGGTCTGAATATCGGCCTCGTGCCTTCAACTCGTCGGGGCCTCTAAGGGCCTGGAGGGACCTCGTTGGGGCCTCCTGGAGGGCATATTTGAGCCGTCTAGAAGCTCTCTCGGCCGTCCGACGGCTTTGGAGGCCGTCTTGGGGGCCTCTCTGGGCCGCTGGTGGGGTCATCTTAAAGAGATTTCGAGCCGTCCTTGAGATCTCTTGGGCCGCCTTGGGGCCCTCTACCGTGTTGGGGGGGCCTCCTGGCCCGTCTTGGAGGCCTTTGGGGCCGTCTTGGGCTGTCGGAAGCCCGAAACCACGAGAACGCGATCATCAGTGAAGAATCCGAAGGGACGGCCCGCCTGTGGGGCCTCTTGGGCCGACATGTTGGGGCCGCCTGGCGACGCTTTCGAGGCACCCTGGGCCAGACTGGAGGCATCTTGAGTCCATCTTGGATCCTCCGAGCTGTCTTGTGGAGTTCAGGGGGGAGAACAACTCACAGGCACAATGAGTCGTCGATTCCCAAGAAAGTATGGGAACATGTGGGAAAGGGGGGGGGAGACCAAACAAAAAACAGAAGCAGATGGGAAACTATAGGGAATCTTGTTATGCGTGCCGGTTGATTTGTGTGTCCAATGGGCCCCATTCAGGACTTCTGAGGGCCAACCCAGAGGAGACAAAATGCTGGACGTGCGCGCGACCAGGGCAGGGCCCGGCCCAAGGAGACGCGGGTGACACCCTTCACACGACGACGCAGAGCAGCCCATGGCGCGCCCAAGAGCGTGCTGCTGGCACGGCGGCGGATCACGGAAACACGTGAAGAATCAGTGGGGAAAAAACACACAGATACAATTAATCGTCGATTCCCCAGATAAAATGGGAAAATATGGGAAGTGGGGGGGAAGACGAAAACCCCGGAAAAATGGGAACATATGGGGGACTATGTTTATTTGTGTGTATTTCTTTGTGTGTCCTGGGGCCCCTTCAAAGAAGCCATGTGTGCAAGCAGACGCACTGCAGATGATCCAGGATAGGTGCTGTGTACACGCCGTGTGAAGTCTGGCCTGTCCCTCTACAGGAGGGGCCCAAGAAGACGCGAAGGACACCCTTCACAAGACGACGCAGACCAGCCCATGACACGCCCAAGAGCGCGCCGCTGGCACGGCGGCGGATCACGGAAACATGTGAAGAAGCCCTTTGTGCAAGCGAACGCATTGCAGATTATCCAGGACAGGTGCTGTGTACACTCCGTGTGAAGTCTGGCCTGTCCTTCTACAGGAGGTAGATTCAAAGAGAGTCAAAAAATAGTCATGGCATCATTGTTAGAGGGTGTTTGAATTTTTGTTTGGAGTTCTTTGTCGAAAATCGGCCTTTCGGGGGACATGCCCGACCTAAACGCACGCATGGCGTAACCCACGCAACCCATGCTACTCAAGGAGGCCTGCGGTCCCGAACCGCCACCCATTGCGCACCCCATGACCGCAACGATTGGCTTTCAGAACGTGTGCTGCAGACCCACCGCTCTTCCTGGATGCACATAGCGCCCGAGAGGCAGAAGTTATGCGGCTCCTGCACCGGCACCCACGGCGTAATCCATGGTTGAACATTATGAGGCCCGGGAAGTCTGCAGCAACTTCACCGCAGCCCATGGCCTTGCCTGGGGGGGACACATCGAAACAATTTCGCCCAAACTCCAGACCCTGAAAATGCGAAGAGTGAGCCCGTTGACAAACTATGCGATGACCTCCCTCCGCTCGCCCTGCATACCGCGGCCGTCATACCGCACTCCCTGAGAGAGACCCTGGCCTCCCGCCTTGCCCGCCCAGTGCGTCGCGGCCGCCGGGCCCCGGCGCTCCCTGAGAATCCTTGTGGCCCGCGTCGCGGCAGCCACATGCCGCAAGGCGCACGGACTCCTCGACGACGTAGCCGCCACAACGGATAAGCGCATGCCGCGGCCGCCAGGCGCCAAGATCCCGATCGTCCTTGACGACCGGTGCGATGACAGTCCCAAATCAAAGACACAAGCAGCCTAGTTGTTTCACGATCCGCATCCGTAATACGTATGAGATCTCCGGATTGATAGCGTACCAACATATACATGTATGCAATGTAGAACGCACGTGTGCATGTCCATATAACGGACAGGCATAACGCATCGACAAATGACCACACAGGAGTGGCGGAAGCGATACCACACCCATGTGCGATTCGCAGCAGGTCAATCATACCTAGTACACAACGAAAAACAGACGTCAGCAACAAAGGCATGGGAAATGCATCACATGAGCATGATACCAGACGTAGAGATGTGTATATATACATACATAAACAAACAGTTATGTAGCGGACCAGCTTACAGCCCATACATCAAGAACATCGCATGTCGTTTAAGAGCACGCATTGCAACATCGTGCAGCCTTGTTCGTCAGTCACATGCATGGGAGAGCACATGTACGCAACGAATATCAAGTGCATGCTTGCGCGACATGCGTAAACACTGTCGCAGCACATCGTACCGTACAGACACGCAAGCCAGATTCCGACCAAGATCCTAACAGTTTGTTGGGGGGATCGTTCAAGTCGGTGTAGCTCTAAATTTGGTTTGAAATGTTGTTCCTCTGATTTCTTTAAGAGCGATGCGAGCAGCGTAAGCAGCTGTAGCAGAACTGTAGCAGCAGCGGTAGCATTACAAGCGACACAAAAGTGCAGCCACATCGTCAGCGCAGCGTGGGTATTATTCAAACTGTCTTCACAGCAGCAGGGGCAGCAGTAGTAGTAGCAGATGTTGCAGCAGACGCGTCGGTGATCAAATAACGAACGCTCAATTTGGCTCAACTTGTCGTAGCGCCACTTTCTTTCCGCGTGGTTCTGCAACCGCACGCTCATCCTTCCCGTCATGTGAATGAGCACTGCGCAATGTGTGGGCATCGCGTTCTAAATGTCGCGCATCCTCGGCGTAGTATCCTGGCCATGTTGCGCCAGGGCTGGAAGGGGGAGGGCGTATCAGAGTTCCGTTCCGTAGCGGTGAGTGAAAATTCGAGCGCCAATGGGTTCAAACAAGAAAAAGGTTCCCGCCGGTTGTCGTTCTGACCCTTCGAGCGAAGATGTCTCAGCAGGTTTCCGCAGTTCCGCTTCCGCGGCTGTCGTTCAGGCGGCAGCGGCCAGGACATGTGCACACACGTGTCCTCCCCCGCGGTTGCGCATCACCAGCAAGTCAACGGGCTGTGGGACGCGCGGACTTACGTCACAGTGGCACTTATCTGTTGCGGTCAAGCCGAACCGTGACTTTTGGGTTGGGCTCCCGCGGGATCTAATTGAGCCATCCGGGTGTTTTCTGGGCCATCTGGGGGTTCTCTGGGAGCCGTCGTATTGCCATCTTGGGGCCCTCTGAGGCCGTGTATGGGATCCTCCTGGATCGCGTCGTGGGTCCTTCCGGAAACCGTGTTGGGGCCAGTTCGGGGTCCAACGGGCGCATTGTGCACACACAGCTCTTCTGGTCGGTGGCGATGGGCACAGTGCAGCGCGGGACACGCTTCGCGGGGCGCTCCTGGGCGCCTGGCGCCCAGTGCAGGAGCGCAGGGACACGAGTGGACGGCGGCCGCGTCGAGCGGAGGAGAGGAGAGGGGGCCCCAGTCCCCGCGCTGGCGCGGCCAGGGGGCCTTTGGCCTCAGTGCCCCGGGGCGTCTCACGCGGCCCCACATAGTTCCGGGGCGGCCAGGAGGGGGGTGATGACCAGGGAGGGGGGATATCATGGCGGGGGCCATGATATCTCCCCAGATTTCATGGCGCCTCTTCTTATTTCAATACGTCCCCGCCCCCCCCCCACCCCCGGGCCGCGAACATGCCGCTGGCCTTGATTTGCGCCCCCCCCCTCTTGGACGGCCCCCCCCATTGGCCTCCCCCCCGAATAGTCAAGGGCGTTGAGCGGCCAAACGCTTTTAGATGGTCACGTCCAGGTGGTGATGTTTGATCGAGTCTCGGGGTAGGAACATGTACCCATACCGCTACCGTTGCCTCATTCTCTATTTTCAGGCCTCCTGGGATGCCCTCGCCGCCACCGCGGGAGGCAGGTTGAAGTATCAAGTTGAAGAAACGTTCGCTGGTTGTTTAAAGACATGAATGGTGGAGGACATTTGGTGTACCTCCGTTGGTTGTGGTACGCTTATGGCTGTCCTTCAGTGCCCACCCCATCCCGTCCACAGGGACTTCGCACCCCCGCCTTGGGCGGGGAGGTGAGCGGGCCGCCCCCCCCCCCCCCCCCTAACGTCGCACGGACTACGCCAGGGGTGGTTTTTTTTTGCACGGACCAGTAAAGATCCCTTCCGACTCATCCCGTCCCAGGAGGGCCAAAAACCTTTATCAAAACCGGAACAGGAGGAAACCCTCGCGTTGACGCAACGAGACATCGACACCCAACAGCACTTGGAACCAGCAACCGCTTGTTGCGATTAATATTCAGAACCAACACTGAGAACCAGGAACCCACCATCATCAGGATTCCGGGCAGAACGCGGCATAGGTACTTCTGGTTTCTCATGCCAGGCTCTTCCCGTGTCCCAGCGGCGTCGGTGAAGTTTTGGGGGTGCTTTGGGGCGGCTTGGGGAGGTATATTGGGTTGTCGTGGGTGCTCGCACGAGGAAAAACACACATCGAGTTGCAAACCATATCAAGGTCAGTCAGTGATTTGGGCTTCTTCTAAGAAGGCCCGAGACCCCCAAGAAAGCTCCAGCAAGGAACCCTGGGACCTGCTTACCGGCATGTTAGAAGGAGATTGAGATCCTCGACCGCTTCCCCGAGGCCTTTGAAGAGAATTTGCCATAATCGGCGCAGCTGGCACCCAGGAACATGAGGAAATTCCACTGGGTGCCTACCGGCATGCTGGTAGGTTCTGGCCGCGGAGTCGGCGCGTGGCGCCAGAAGGTTCGCATAGCCGCAGAAGGACCACCGCACGCATTCGTACACACAACTCACGGCGACGTCTTCTCGTCGACTGCCCGCCTGCCTTCGCACCCGGAGGAAGAGGAGGAGGAGGAGGAGGAGGAGGGGCGGATGAAGAGGAGGAGGGAGGAGGAGGAGGAGGGAGGAGGAGGAGGAGGAGGAGGAGGAGGAGGAGGAAGAGGAGAGAAGATGATTGGCATGCGCAACGCTGGACCAAGTCAAGAGGAGGGGGCTGCGTGCCACCCGCAGTGGCCCCGCAGGTGAGGCGCCGCGGTGGGGGCCTGGACGCCATGTCGGTGGGGCTGCAGGACGCTGGCTACGAGGCCCGAGCTCCCCCCAGCCTCCCATACCTTCGTCCAACTCCTCCCGGGGCTCCCTTTCACTGAGCAGGGGTGAGAGAGAGAGAGAGAGACACACATATATTTTTACATACGTATATGTATATACACACCATACAGGGATTACAGGGCTGTCTAATCGCGCCGCTCTTGTTGCAGGGACCCGTCTCTGCAGACGATCCAGGCAGTGGCGCGACCTTCTTCTGCTCCGACAAAGGCACCGAGTACATGGGTGTTCTTTCATGTGTCATCTCTGTGTCAATGTACGTACCAGATTGGCAGATGATGCTTCACAGCATTGTGTTTGCTGCTATCCCAGACCACGCCTCGACCGCAGTCCTTACTTCGATTGCTTTCCGCCGCGCTAGGGCGATGTTGCTGACTTCTCCTTCCATGTCTGTGCATCGTGTTTTCCTTACTGCGGAGAGCAAGCTTGCTGCTGCTTGCTCCAGCGCTTGGTTGCTCTCAGTCGCGTCTTGCCACTTGAGTATCTTATGGATCTTGTTGGTCTCAGTCCATTGGTCGCGCTTGGTTAGTTGTTGTTGCTGTTGTTGTTTGCCCCGTGCGCACGTGCAACAGGTTTCAAGGGAGGAAAAACCACCCGGAGCAGACAACTGGCGTTGACTCCACGGCCCTGGGCGTTTACTAAACAGCCCTGCCCTGTGTGATTCCTTCTTTGGGTCCGTTTACTGAACGGCTTCGCGTGTCGGGGTGTTTATTGTAGGGCTGGGTGTTCTGCCCTCTAAGGTTGCGCGATCTTGTGCCCATGATTGTAATCGCTTTCGAGTGCGACGCCATGTGAATTACGCAGTCGGCTCGCTCTTGCAATGTTATCCCTCTCTCTGTCTCTGTGCCTCTCTCGCTCTCTCTCTCTCTCTATCTCTCGCTCTCTCTCTCTCTCTCTGTCTCTTTTATCCGTAAGGGCTTCGCCCCCTGCCGCCGGACCCCTCTCTCGGATAATGGGGCATGCAAGAGTTATGTTTAAGTCGGGCATGTCCCTCTACAGGAGGAATATTCAAAAATAGTCGAACATAGTCTGGGGACGATGCTTTGACACTGTTTGGATATCTGTTGGAATCTGTCCAACTATTTTCAATGTTTCGTCCAAAATCCGCCTGTGGGGGGGGGCACGCCCGACCTAAGGACAATGGGGCGCGCCAGAGCTATGTCGTGAGGCCTGGGTGCCGTCGCGAAGCCGCGTCGGAACCCCGAACGGGGGCCACTGGAGATACGAGCGTGCCAAGATCCATCGAGCACCCAGGCGAAGTCGCAGATGTTGGCCGTTTCGGTCCCCTCTCGGAGGTGCTCTTAGAGCGCTCTCGGGAGCCTCTGGGCCTTGCATCGTTCGGACGTGTATTTTTTTCTCGGCGAGGACCCTTGAGGACCATCCTGGACCATCGAGCAACAAAAACACGCACGAAACCAAAAAATGCACAGGAACTGGACGTCCGAGCGACAGCAAGTGGGGAGCCTCTTGGACCGTCCTGGGGCCATCTTGGGTGTCTTGGAGCACTGTTGGGCCTCGGGGGCGCAAACAGGGCGTTAGTATCCAAGGGAGTATGGCGTCGGGTGCGCGAATCTCGCGTACTCGTGTCCCAGCAGGACCCCCCATACATTCTGATGACCCCCCAGGTGGTGGTAACGTGGGTCCTTTTTCGGCTCCCCTCCCCCGCGCGGGCTTCAACGGTTCACCGTAGGAGATAGAAAGTAGGGTTGCAAGATGGGAGACTCGAAGCCAGAGCTGGAGCAGGGAGCAGCACGCCTAACCCGCGGAGCCTTGTGGCCCCACAAGGGGGCTGGCGGTTTCTAGTTTTTTTGCGTTCCTCTTTCTCTCTCTCTCTCTGTCTCTCTCCACCTCTCTTTTGCTACGCATGAAGCCTCGGAAGGGCCGTTTGGGGCGATCACAGCGTTCCAGGGAAGCTCAGCGACGTGGGTCAATGGCTTGAAGTGCTCGATGTCGGTCCTGGTTCGTGTCGTGCGTGGCCCGCGTGCTGTCGAGGCGAGGCGGAGCTGCGCGAGCTCGGGCCCGGTAGGGCCGGGCTCTGGCCACCCACCGGGTGGCGTTGGGGCGCCCCCGGCGGTTTGCCCCGTGTGTGGTTTGTGGTTGTCCCCGGTGGTCGTCCCGACTTGGTTGTCCGGAGGTTGCCTCGTGGTTGTCCTGGTGGTTGCCCCGATGGTTGTCCCGCGGACGTCCTGCGGCTGTCCAGGTGGTTGTTCCGTGGTTGGCCCGAGGGTTGTCCCGATGGTTGTCAGGTGGTTGCCCTTTGGTTCTATCGTGGGTGTTTTGGTGGTCGTCCCGATGGTTTTTCCGTGAGTATCCCGTGAGTGCCCCGTGGTTGTCCAGATGGTTGTCTTGTTTTAGGTTGATATACAGTGGGACTGATAGATCAGTGGTGGCATCGATCGACGAGTTTATAACGAGATCGAAAAAATGACATGTTTTCATGATGGTTGTCCCGTTTGTGGTTGTCCCGATGGATGTCCCGTTGTCCCATGGGGGGTCCCGTAGGTGTCCAGTGGTTGTTTTATGATTTGCGGTGGTTGTCCTTCCGCTCGGAGTGGAGTCTCTCGACCAGATCTTGCCCTTTCGATTGGCTCTGGTCTTCCATGGTTCTTCCACAGTGCACATCCCGACTTGTCGCCAATCGCAAGTCCGTCCATCAGTTGCAAACCGATACATACCTCCATCCTCCCCCCTGAACACCACGTTATCACCAGAAGGTACAATTTGTACCTGTGCAGCAAGTGTCGCTAGGCTCTCCAAATGCCTGGCCGAAACGGCGACATGGTGATCCACTCTCCGAGCCATACACACGGGAACCGTACAGTAAACGCCGCAGAGTACACAATAATTGGATCACTACCTGGGTCGGCAAAAACCGGCCACACTTCGTGCTAGCACGACAGACGGCACCCATTTGCCGGCGACAACGCACAACGGCCGATCCAAACACTTCATGCATCTCATGGGCGTGCAGCTCAGCTGCAAGAGCCTCTCTGCAGCGTGGCCGCGTTGTGGTAGCACCTCGAAGTTCGGCAGAATCCCAAAGCAGAACCGTACATGGTGACAGCTTTTCAAACTCGTCTCATCGTGTTGACTCTCTCGCATACCGTCGACCACCCTCCACCTTCTACGCCGAGCACAGCAGGCAGCACAACAAAGAAAATATCGGTATGCCAGCAGGTGCCCCACGGAAACGTATCACACGAATCCCATGTGTGGACAAATTGTGTGGCACATTTACTTTTTATAGCACGATGTATGGCCGCATGTGTCTGCTGTACCCAACTTGACGAGCTGCTGACAGTGTGAGCCCGGATCACGAGATCTGGCGGGCAACATTTTCGAAGGTCTTAAGGCCTGTGCCGCCGATCCTGAAGGCGGGGCTTCCGCCAGGACCCCCGCTGGCGACCTCCCCTGGGCCACCCGGCTCCTCATAAGGGAGTGGAAAAAGGGGAGGGAATCGACTTAACTTCGACGTTTCTTTTCCCTGTTGTTCAATTTTTTGGGGACTGGCGGCGACGACCACGTCGAAAACGAGGGCGAAGTTTCTTGCAAACGCCGAAGGGTTGGCGGATTTGGCATCCGGGATGTGCGAGTATAGATAAAACACCTTTGGGAGATACTTCCAACTGCTATCCGACAGTGGCATGGCTCGTGTCGGCAAGGACCTCGGACAGATGCTTGCGTGCTTGGGCACGGGAGCCGGAGACCAGCTGAGACAATTCGGCAATCCAAAGCCTCCAACCCCAGAGTTGGGGGCATAGTGGTAGCGCGGTGTAATATAGAACAACACACAAAGCAAGCCATGTGCCAGACCTCAGGTCATCTATGCGTGAGAAGCAAGTGTCGACCCCCCCCCCGGTGCCATTTTTAACCCCAAACACCATGTCTCATTCTGGAGGGCCACCGAAATAACCAACCGGTGGTATCGTAGCACACAGCAAAGTTATGTAACTCCCTGGGTGGTGGGGGGCTTCGGAGGGGGGGCAGCAGATTCTCAGGAATCGTTGTGGATTTTTCCGAGATGCTGCAGGACTCCCCATGAATCTTTCTGGAACCATTTCGTACTCCTCCATCTTCAGGATTCTGAATGGGGGGCACAGGAAGAATTGTGGAAATCTTTGGGGAAACCTAGGAATCCTCACAACTCCTGCAGGAGTCGGCAGCAAACCTGCTGGAATCTCCCCGAATCCCGAATACCCACCGGAATCCTGAGTAATCTGCAGGAGTATTGAAGAATCGTTTGGAATCCGGTGAAGACCGACGGACCCCACAGGAACCCCATGAAGCCTCAGGCACCCTTGAAGAATCTTCAGGGGTTCCTGAGCAACCTGCAGGCATTCTCAGGAAACCACATGGGAGCCACGCCCCCAGGGCCAGGATCCCTCGTAGATTGCCCTGCGTCCGCGCTCCCAGGGCCACGATCCCTTGTAAATTGCCCTGCGCCCGTGCTCCCAGGGCCACGATCCCTCGTGAGCAGCGGCGAATGCACTTTGTGAATTACGCTGCGCCCGCGCTCCCAGGGACAGGACCCCTGGTAAATTACGCTGCGGCCGCTCTCCCAAGAACGCGAGCCCTTGTATCTCACGCTGCGTCCGCGCTCCAAGGGCCAGGATCCCTTGTAAATTGCGCGGCGTCCGCGCTCCCAGGGCCTCGTTCCTTGATACATTGCATTGTGTCCGCCCCCCCCCCTCCAGGGCCAGGATCCACGGTAAACTACGCCCCGTCCCGCCCCCCCTGAGCCATGACCTTTTGTAAATTATGCTGCGCCCGCGCTCCCAGGACCAAGATCTCTCATGAACTATGCGGCGTCCGCGCTCACATAGTCACGATCCCTGGTAATAGACTGTGTTTCCACACTCCCAGAACCACCTAGGCATCCTAGAGCGCCGAAGACACTCAAGCGCTGCAAAACAAGTGTTTCGCTCGAGGCATCCTGGAGGATTCTGCGCGCAGGACGCGCCAGGAAGCCTTGGAGAAGGCTTGAGGATGTCTGGAGGGACCCTCAGACACCCTCCCGGAGTCGGCAACAGACCTGCAGGAATCCTCAGGACTCCTTCGGGGAACTTGTACCACTATTGACAAATCCTTCGGGGTCTTGCGAAAACAGACGGGTCGTTTTTCTGAACCCCATGAAACCTTGGGAATCTTTCAAGGATCTCCAGGGATCCTTCAGCAAAGGGCAGAAATCCACAGGAATCTTCCGGCATACGATCTTAAGCACCATAATAGAATTGATTAAATCGGGGGGGGAACAGCACATTCTCAAACATCCCTTGCACTCTTTTAGGAGCCCGCGGGAATCCCCACGACTCCGACAGAGATGCGGAAGGAATCTTCAGGATCCGTCAGGAACCAGCAGGTCTCCCCAGGCAACCGTGGATCATTCTGTCGTCCTCAAGAATCTTCTTCAAGAGTCCGCAGCAGGAATCTTCAGAATTCTTCAGAAAACAGCAGAAGTCCTCCAGGGATCGTCTAGAGTCCTGCAGGGATGATTCTAGATCCCTCAAGCATGTTCAGGAAGCCGCAGGTGGAAGCCTAAGGCATTTTTGCGGATCCCCACGGACCGTCGAGGGATTTGCAAACATCCTTAAAGAAGTTCAGGGGCTCATCAGGATTCAGTCAGGGCACCAGGGATCCTCCAGGCACCTCCAGGTATCTTCAGGAAACCGAGTTATCTGTCAAGAGTCCTTCAGGAACACAGAAATTGCACGTTAAGATTTCAAGAATGCGCGGGGATCAGCAGGGTTCCGTCCGGGATCATTCTGGACTCATCAGCGCAACACGGCCGTGCAGGTCGTGTTTCCTCTTCCTTTTCGTCCTGCCTTGTATTTGCCTCTCTGGGCTAACAAACGATATGCCCCTTCGCTGGACGACGTGACTGCCCAGTCAATTGTGGAGGGAGGAAGAAGAGAAGGGTCGAAGAGAAGAGGAGGAGCAACAAACTCAAAAAGGAATACGATGAGGACGAGGAGGAAGATGAGGAGGAGGAGGAGGAGGAAGAGGAGTAGGGCGACCTTACTCCATGATCGCATGACTCAATCTCACTCTGGAGCGCCGTGTTCGCTACTTGCAAGCAGTTGCGTTTAGCACGGCGCCCAGAGGAACGCGCACGACATCGAGGACACGTTGGGTTCATCCGTTCCCATTGCGGCCCCGGGAGTTATTTAGGGTTCTTGCGGGGTCGTGATAGATTTTGGAATCTTTTCTGGGCGAAATCATTTCCTACTTCTGGGGGCTCCTGCAGTGTCTTTGTGATCCCTTTGGATTCTCAAGGATTCTTGAAGGATCCTGGGAGGATGCCTGAGGGGTCGAAATTTTTGGATTTTGCTGGTGCCAATGGATTCCTGATTGTTTCTGGATGTTCGTGGCGCTTTCAGAAGGATTCCTAAAGAGGAGCCCCACAGACTCTGGAAGCAGTCTTGCGAATTCCACGAGGATTCCTGGAGAGCCCTGCCGGGTCCTGGGAGGATTCCTGCGGATTCTAAGGGTCGCATTCGGATTCCGGGGGTCCCGTGAGGATCCCAGAGATGTCCTGAAGGTCAGGCCGAGTTAGGTTCAAGCCGTTCTAAGTTAGATGGGCTGTCTGGGACTGCTTTGGGCCAGGCCGTCTTGGACTCTCTTGGACCGTCTCGGGTTGGGTTGTCTCGGCCCCAATGTGATTGCAGCGCTGTTGTCTGACAGCATGCAGCCGCGCAGCGAGGGGATGCGCTGCCCGTAGCACGGGCAACGCAGCAACGAGGGCACCTTTGGTCACGGATGCCCCCCCCCCACATCTTCCTCTCTCAGTACTTCGGCATCCTATAGGCCTCTGCATAGTCCCGAAGGTTCCCGAATGCTCGCGGGGTTCCCGATGGATTCCTGGAGGGTGCCTGGAGATTCTCGGAGGACTCGCGCCGATTCTAATGGGATTCCGGAAGATCCCTGCCTGATTCACGGAGGATCTTTGAAGAGTCCCACGGGTTTTTTACGACTCTTGGAGTTTCGTGTGGGCCCCAGAGGTGTCCTCAAGATCCCAGCGGATTCGTAAGGCTGGCCACAGTGAGCTTGATGAGGTCAGTTTCTTCTTAGCGATATTTAGCACCCGTCTTCCAAGCGCCCTCGGGGCCGAGGCGACGGAAGTTAATGATTGAGGCATCCTAAAGATCCGGCTTCTCTAATTGAGCACAATATTGGAGCGTTCGCTGGGTGAGTTCATTGCGCGAACGCGAGTTGATCACTAATCTCGCAGCACCGAGTCCCTATGGCGGCAAGCACTCGGGCACGCGGCATGATGGCGTGTATTGAGCCACAGCTTGATATTATGCAAATAGTATGACGTACTACGGTTTGTGTCTTATTGCGCACGCACAATACAATAATCAATCGTGAATGGCCAATTTAGCGGGGGAAAACTGCATGGTGATGACAAAGTATTTAACTTGTTCGGCACACACCACCAGAACAGCATATGTTGTGAGACAAAACAAACACGCTTCGTATTGCGCGCACTCGCGTGCGCAATGCGGCAGCCAACGGGAAATTGCTATTTTAAATTCGAGAACTGAACGGCGAAAACCATTTGCTTCAATCGTATTCTGAGGGCTTCAACGTGGAATAATGCATGGCGTCACACCACACGTTCCGTATTGCCCGCGAGCGCGTGCGCGCGGAATAGAACACCCAATCAAAATGACCATCGTCAAAGTTCGAACACAGAATGATGAACAAGCGTTTCATTCGTATTCTGAGGGCCCCGACGTGGCATCATGCATTGTGACACCATGCGCTGTCCTTATTGCTCGTGCGCGCGAGTGCTCTCGCGCGCGCAAGACAACAATGAGCCTGCAGTTGTGAGCTCCGCAGTCGTGAGTGTCGTCTTCGGTGAAGCTTCTTGTGGGGGCGCGAAACGTGTGCGGGGTGTGCCACTGTGGGATGGCGGCGGCACGCGGGCGCTGCCACTGGGGCCTTCGGTGGAGCTCCCTACAGGGCCACGAAACGTGCGAGGAGTGCGCCAACATTTCAAGTGGAATTGCATGCGCACCTTGCACTGGGCCCTTCGGTGGAGCAGCCGCGCCAAACTCCGGGAGATTTGGTAATTTGGATTCCGGGCCAGGATCGGGGATTGAGGCTCAGGGGAGTGGGCAAAGGACACTAGGGCACGCCTATTCCCGTGCCCAGCGGCATAGTGGCGGATAATATTACGAGTTCGACAGAAAGCGCTTGCAAACGAGGAACCTTGCCCGATGGTTTGGGGACCAACTCACTGGAGGAATTCGAGGTACAGAATGGCTGGGGGACATCCTAGTCTCAGCGTGCTCGAACCAGCCCCATCAACTAAATAAAGTCGAGGAGGAGGCGTCGCAGCAGGAACAGAGGGCAGCATACGGAGGCTTGAGGACTGCCCGCTGAAACAGCAACAGCAGGAGGAGAGTGAGGACACGATGCGCGTCTCAGACGTCGGCACCACGCCAGCGCGATGTTGAGGAGGAGGAGGAGAAGTGTAAGCTCGAGCGACGTCATGCGGGTCCCCCCAAGAGTGGCGACGACGGTCTGCAGCCGGCGCCCGGCCCAGCAGGTATGGGGCCGCAGTGACGGGACCAGCGAGGTCCGCCTGTCTGCCTGCGCGGGCAGCGACGGGCGGTGGCGACTGCCCCCGCCCCCCTCCCTTCGGGGGAAACCTCCACCACCACCACACCAGGGGTGCCACCAGGGGTCCACGATGCTTCCCCGAGCTCGGGAAAGGGGATACCTCGAGCTAGAGGGGGGGCCGCACCACCAGGCGGGCCGATCCTGGCTCCTCCCGGTGGTGATCCATTGTGGAGGTGGTGTCGTTTTTCTTTGTTCTTCCCCCCCCCCCCTCGGAGCAACAGGCGGCGAGGGCGGGAGGACCGCAGGAGCAGCAGAGGCTGAGCATCTTTTGACCGATCCCCATCCCCACCGGCATGTCCCCACCCCCACTGGCCGATGTTCCCCCCCAGCGGGCGGTATGGGGTATGGGCTGTTGTTCCTTTTTAGGGGTTTTGAGGGGCCGATCCCCAACTGGAGGAGGGGGGGATGGTGGGGC